GGTATTATCTGAGGATTTCACTAACACAGAAAAAGAAATTGCATTTCTAAAAGTAAAAAATAGAAAATCTCCTTATTTCAATGACATACACTTATAGTTTTCAAGACTAGCATACTGTAATCTAAGAAGAAAGGTAAAAGTTGATAGATAATCCAGAAGTCTTTCTAGAGAATTTAAACGAGCAAAGAATTCTTAATCTAGACGTATTACCTTATTTAGCATTGTCTTCAACCTTTTTGAATGATTGATATACAATAGGAAAAGCTCTTCTGTGAGGATCAAGTTATGACTTTTGATATAGGCTAACTACTTACATATAAAGAGAATAACAGTAGATATGACATAGAAAGGTGACCAATGTATAAATTCTTCAAAAAAACACTGGCTTCAGTAAAGAATATTTCTAGGAAATTTACTCGTTTTGTCTAAATGCTTAAATAATTATGTTCTTTAGATTTCCATAGTATCCCTGCTTCTTTCTTGCCCCTATATTGCAGAAACTCTTGCCCAATTTGGGATGAAATTCAATTATGCAGATGACCTGTTGTTGCTTCCATCAGCTATATTTAATTTTATAATTAAATGTTAGCGATACCCACCAACGTCCATACAGTTAAAAAGTCGCTGATCAAAATGAATACGAACACTCTGATGCATTTCAGGGATTACTAGACTACACTCATACACTATTCGTCGTTTTAGTTCTTCAAATAAAGCAGGAATGTATAAATATTGCTGACCATTCAATAAAACCTCTTTGTACAATCCATTGCTTAGGAAACCGTTCATTAAGGTATCACCTTACGTTTATGCCATAATGCTAATGAATCTCCGTTTACATTTTGGTGCAAAATGATTGGCCCAACAATACGATCCTCATGAATTCCTTCCCATACGTGTAATTTCAATGACTGTTGGGTATGTGTTTTATGTAAAACTCTATGATTTTCGTCAGCTTAAGAGTAGCAGTATTCATTTAGAAAAAAAACAACATTCGTCCAAAAAACAAATATTGAATAGAAAGTTTGGACTGCTATTTCTTTTCTCAGTCATAATCTCACAAAATTGTGATTTCCTGTCTGGATCATCTTTATTTATTTTCTGTACGAAGTGTATTTTTTTGGACATAGAATAGTGCGCGAAAAATCTATTGAGCTATTTCTGAGTACTTGAAGTAGATTATAAATTAACATGACCTACAATTGCTATTTTTTATCAGCTACTGATCCCGTTTCATGAAATTTTTAAATGGTTTTAGTACAAGCAGCTTTATGAGTGATAAAGCTGCTTATCTTAACAAAGTTGATTTTATTTTTAAGTTTATTAAAATGTGTAAATTAAAACTTTAGTGTAGGTGTTAAGCTCGTTAAATCTGTTGAAGCCCCAAATATTTTACCTTTTTACCTACAGTTTCCGCGGTTTAAACTTTCTGTATCTGTGAGTCACCTGGAATGACCTCTAGGTGCGAAAAGTAATCCTATAATAGTTTCTCACCCATCGTAGTTCTTCTTTTAGTTTCTAGAATAGTAAGTAGTGTAGTTAATTTAGTTAGAATAGGTTAATTTAAGTGAACGGTATTACACATTTGCTGATGGCTGGATTTAAGCACAATTGCCAAGAAAAAAAAATGAAGTCGATTAAATAATTTTAATGTTCAAAATATATGGAAATCATTTCAACGCGTTCTGTGATAAAATAGGCCATGTCGAACGAATTAAAAAAAATACTTAATATCGCTGTTAGACGCTACCAAAATTTCAAATATCTAAACTGTTTGAAAATGTCGTTCAATGTAGTTTTAGACGTAACAGAAAAAAATTGTCGAAATTGTTCACAATTCCTTGGTCAATTGGTCAATTATTGAAGGAATTTCATAAACTCCGTGTTGTTCATTTGGAATGTTATCTTTGAATGACCGGACAAGAGATGAAAAGTTTTTGTTGGGGGGTAAATATTGTCTTTATTTCTCTTGAATTTGTCGATTTTGTCAGTGACACCTTCGATGTAAGGAAGAAGAGCTTCCGTATGAAGCTGAGTCTTTGGGTTGAGATTGAGTGGGAGACTGATGCCTGTGGATACTCCTATGGATGAGGACTTGTTTTAAACTAGGGAGCACAGCGGGTCTACTTGCATCATATCAAAAGCGTATTGATCTGTAGACAAGGATATTAACGACTGATTTAATTTGTGAAGGTGAATAATAAGAGTTGGCATGCAAGTAATGATTGGTATGGGTGGGTTTTCGATAAACAGAGGGATAAAAACCATGTTAGGATTTTTATATGACAGTAAACAATCTCATTGTTTACTGTCATTAGTATATAATTATTTTTATATGGGCGTATCGTTGATGTTTTTGAAAAAGGTAAGGTGGAGATATGTTATGACTTCAAGAACTTTTTATGATGTTATATTGTTATTGTTTAAATCAGATTGAAATATATTTTATTTATAATAAAATATGTGGAAATGTGAAATACACAAAACCTAAATAAAATATATTTCAATCTGATTTAAACAATAACAATATAACATCATAAAAAGCTCTTGAAGTCATAACATATCTCCACCTTACCTTTTTCAAAAACATCAACGATACGCCCATATAAAAATAATTATATACTAATGACAGTAAACAATGAGATATCAGATATCAACTTTTATATGTCAGTTCGTTAATGTCTGTGTCACGTTTTACGTTTTGGTAAGTCATATATATATATATATATATATATATATATATATATATATATATATATATATATATATATATATATATACATATTTTACAATATCTGTTTGTCCTTCTATATATACACATTTTAGAATCTTGACAAAGGCAGGGTTTCCTGCCGAAATGTTGATTAATTGCAATGGAAAATAAAATCTAGTTCCACATGTAACATATCTTTATTGAACCTAACCCAAGAAATATTAATTTTATATTATATATATATATATATATATATATATATATTGTTATATGTAAAATCGAGAAAAATATTGGTTTGATTAAAATATTTCAAAGTTCAAAAACATTAAAATAATTCAGATAAGTAGGATAATAACCAACAAACATTTCGAAGAAAGAAAGTTTTAAATTTTTGGATTACCTGTATTAAACAAAATGTAAGCTATGCATAAATTATTTCCTTTGTTATACTATACTTGAGTGACCCGCATAATTTTAAGTGAAATCCCAAAGACAATTGAACCGGGTTTTTCCAAATACATTAAGGCAGTGATTAAAGACAATAGAAGAGATTTGGAAAGAGGTTTTTGTTAGTTTTTAAGAATTATAGAAAAATATTATTTGTAAATAAGTTTTAGGAAATTTTATAATTATAGGTAAAAATTTGTTTGTTATCGGAATGAAAAAATGGGGAATTGTGACGAGTTTTGATTGGCGGAGATTAAAAAAGGTGGGATAGGTATGTAGGAATGAAAGTTTAGCTAGAATTTTGAGGGAGAAAAGATAGTCAGTTGGTTTTCCAAGTCTGTAAGACGAACAGTGATTGTTCTCTGGCGGTTCCCGAGAGGTAGCAAGCAGTAGTGTTGAATGTTAGTGAGTTTTTGTGGAGTTAGTGTATCTGACAGAAGCTGAAGCAGCAAAATATTGTAAGTCATATTTATCTACTTATATTCCAAGAGTCACTGTTCAGGCCAACAAGAGATTCAGTTTATCGTAAAGACAAGATATTCCAAGAGTCATTTTTCACTCGGGCCAACGAGAGATTCAGTTTATCGAGAGGAGAAAGGCTATCATAATTTGAATGATTTGTGCTTTTGAAGGAGATCATTAGGGACGATATACTTGCAACAATTTGTTGTAAGATTGCGGATTACATAGGGAGCGGTTGAGAGGAGATAATATAGTCTACAAGGAACAAGGATTTGGACCACTCATCATCAGAGAGAGATATTTTTGTTTTCTGCAGTTTTTTCTTTTATTGATAACACAATTTTTTACACTTAATTTAGAAAGGATATAAATATTTTGATTAGGAGAGTTAGAATAGTTCGGATTTTAAGATTTCAATTAATATTGTTTGTACCATTAATTTTGATTGTTCACGTACGTAGAACAAAATTTTGAGAATCATTATATGAGATTTTGTTTATTGAAAACTTTTCAGTGTGAATTATTTCATTATTTTTATTTCAATATATATAGCATGTATATTCACATGTAATAGCATAGATATTGAAGCACGAATTTAACCCTGAGATAAAAGAATTAAAAATTGTGATAGAGTCATAATCATATCATTTAAATAATTTCAATTAATCAAAAAATTAATTAGCTAATTATTTGATTGGCGCACTAAGACTTTAAGACAGGTTGGAATTTGATTTCACTTATAGTGCGCCTGTATATTCGCTTATACGTATTTCATCCTAAAACGAATCTTCGGAGCGACAATTTACAGACGCTCTGAATATGAAAACAACATTTCCTATCGTAATAGAAGCAACACTAAAATGGCTTCGATATGGAAGCAATAGCGACATCTGATAATAAATCTCGAAACCAATTGTCGAAACCAAATTCAGATTTTTGCTTTAATTTGTGCCTTCTAAGAATTGCAAGGCAAAACAGATGTTGATAAAGATGTAATTAGAGACATGGAGAATCTGAAATTGCATTCCACAACTTAACTCCTCAACTAAGCAAAAATCCTTGGCGAATTGGTTTCTATTTAGTGTCCATAAAGAGTATACAGGCGCACTATACTTGAAATTATTATATTAACTGTCTTTCCTCCTAAAATTATATAACTTTCAAGCTTAAATCAATCTTTCTCTAGCAATTAGCATATTTTCTAAAACTAGCCCGGTTTATTGAGATATTTTAATGTAGTCGTCAATAATGTTGAAGATTTTTGTTATTTCAATCTGATACAAAATTTTGGTATCCAGTTTAAGAAAATTAAAAAGTATTTAGATATATTTAAATAGTAAATGAGTATCAATCTTATTAACATATTTTGATTACTAAATTATATTTTCTCTAGATCTTGAACTGTGTCTTGCAACTTTAAATTTTTCGTTTCCTGTAAAGGCAAAACTAGTACCACCTGTAGCAGAGTTATCGAAGTCAATATAATAAGGGGTAATGCTGTTTCCTTTTCTTCTAGTGTAATTAAAAAAGGTGCGAACATGGATCCCACTCTTGAACACATAAGACACATACCAACTCCGGCATTTCGTAACACTGTAGGGTATAGTTCACCTGTAAATAGATATAGGGCTGGCGTCGAAACCTAAAATGGTAGAATAGTTTATTTAAGTAAACTAAACTTAAGTACACATTGAACAAATTGATCAGGAATATAATTTGGGGGTACTGAACACGAATCTAACAAACAACATACCATCAGTAGTAGAGGAATCAACTCAAAATAAAAACGTAGTTTATTTGAGTCCCTCACAATATATTCTATGTCCATATGCGTCATTTTGCCATACATGTCAAATTCATGCAGCTTTAAAACTTATACTAATGGCTGCATCGCACTAAAATATGACATGTTTACCTAAAAAGGTAAGGATTTCTAGAAATAAAGGTATTTTTGAGATCGTAACGCCCTAATCTGCGAAGGAGGTTATTTATCAGACCACGTGATACTTATGACTTGCAAATATCTGGACAGGTAAATAATTAAATATTTCAAGAGAATAGAAAAAAAACTAAATCAAAATTTGAATTCATGATTAACAAAACAGAAGCTAATCAAAATAAAAGAGGCGATTGAAATGATATTAACATAGGCACAGTAAAAATACATCCGGAAAAAATATTCTAGAAGATACTAGATAGGCAAAGTGAGAAAAATAACGAAGAAGATCAAGAAAATCCTACAAAAATCGGGTAAGATAGAAAACAAAAATAGATAGAAACGAAAGAAATTCAGAAAACAAATAAGAAATAAGAAAGTCAACAATGGACAGAACAGCTTTGACAAAGGCTCATTGAAGACACAGATACATAAATCAGATGCCTGAAAAGTTATCAAGAGATAGTCCCAGGAGGGGTTTAAAAATTAATAAACTGGCAAATTCTAAAAAAGTCTTAATACTAGTAAAGTTCGTTCATTTTGTAATTTTTTTAGGTAAAATTATTATTCAAATTAATTCTAAATATCAGCAAAACAAACTTACCGATATACCAATTATTCCAAAACCAGAAAGTACTACTCGTAACCAATCATTATTAAAATATCCTTTTGGTGTAAGAGAAATGAACAAAAAGCAACTGGCTGTAAACAAGTAAGAACTGGCTATTGTCCATCTTCTTCCATATTTACCAACTAAGAAGATGCATGCGATGGTTCCCGGTAGAGCAACTAATCCACTGGTAGCCACAGTTAAGAAAATATTCGTGCCAATTTGTCCTAAGTATTGTGAAAATGCATAGAAGGTTATGCCGGAAAACATCCTAAAAAAATTTTATTTCTGTATATACGGTTTTAATTGAATTATAAAATACAATATATAATTACTTTAAAATGATGAAAGTGTTAATGGTGTGAGCCCATAACTAAGTAGGTTAGTAAATATGAGTATAATACTTGACCCTCTTTTGTTAACATAGATAATTCATTTTATTTAGTTATAGTCACTGTAGATATTGTGCCTACTGAGAATACTGTGCCTCTTTCAGACTCGTAATTTCTATCAGTTACATTACAGGAAAATCTTCTAGAGAAATCAGAGAAATGGACTGCCTCTACCTCAAGGAGTAAAATTGGACCGTACTCTTACATGTAAAGATCTCGGTAGACACAAAGGTAAAGATTTCCTCAACAAATAACATAATACGTAAGCTGACTTTAATAAGTTGAGGAGCTCAGCCAAGTGAGCTAAGAATATCAGCTGCTATAGCTTTGTGTTTCTCTGCAGAAAAATAGTGATGGTAACCAGATATGGTGAAAATTAACCGAAAGATTACTGGTATAAGTAATCTCCCAGTTGTTGGCCAACAGCTGAGGGTGGATGAGCTGACAGGTGGTAGGGCAACTCATTGTCCTGAGGCTGAGAAATCGACCTCAAAGGCGGAAGAGCTAATATATTAGTTAACGGCATTGGGATGTAGCAGGCAACGAGAAACCACTACAGTAAAGATCCAATGGATATCTCTAGTATAGTTATCATGGCATGATAAATAATCAACAAAATATTACTGATCATGGAGATCGGAGGCCAAGATCCGGCAAGAAAAGTGACAAGGCTTTTCGGGTCGTCAACCAGCGAAAACCTTGTCAAAATATAAATATTACCAACGAAATAATGAAAATTGGAACATGGAACGCTACCAGCATGTATGAGCCAGGAAAAACACACAACGTAATTCAAGAAATGCAAAGAATGAATATTAGCATTTTGGGTATAAGCGAAACCCGATGGTCGGGAAATGGATGCTGTCATATTAAATATCACATAATCTACTACTCCGGTAACCAAGATCCCCAACATCGTAATGGAGTGGGTATAATGTTAAAAAAGTCACTATCTCGTCATGTCCTAAAATTCCCACCTTTGTTCGATCGTGTTATGATGTTACAAATAAATACAAACATCACAAAAATGAATATAATACAAGTATACGCACCAACAGCGGACAAAGAAGAACAAGAAATAGTTAGAAACATTTTATGAACAAATTGACTCGGCATTGAAACTGACCAAAAAAAGGGACATCACAATAATAATGGGAGATTTGAATGCTAAAGTTGGGAAAGGAAGGACAGATGATTTGGTAGGAAATTTTGGAGTAGGGAATAGGAACGAGTCGGGTGAAAGACTGGTACAATTTTGCCAGGAAAACAGAATGGCAATTACAAATACCTTTTTCGAACTACCCAACAGACGTTTATTCACATGGAGATCTCCACAAGACACAGAACATCACATAGTAAGAAACCAAATAGACTATCTACTAATCAATGAAAGATACAGAAACAGCATAATGCCAATTAAGACATACCCTGGTGCAGATATATCATCTAATCATAATCCACTAGTTGCAAGAATGAAAATAAAACTAAAGAAAATTAATAGCACAACCCCCAAAAAAGCAGTTGATATCAACAAATTACGAAAACCAGAAGTAAGAGAACAGATGATACAAGAAATTGATGAAACAGTAACAAAGGTACAACCCATAAAAGACAACACAAAAGTTAACATCAATGAGAATTGGACAGACATTAAAACAGCGTTACTGAAACCAAGCATAAGTCACCTCCATAAAAGTAAAGAATATAAAAAAGAATGGATGACAGATGAGATACTGAACTTAATGGATGAAAGAAGAAAACAGAAAAACAAAAAGAACCAGAAGTATAAAGAGATACAAAAAGAAATTCGTCTAAAAATACGCACAGCTAAAGAAAACTGGTACGAGGAAAAATGCGAAGAAATCGAACAACTACAAAATAAACACGACAGCTTTAATGCACATCGGAAGATCAAAGAGTTGACGAGGAGACAAAGTAACAGACACAACATATTAGTAGACGAGAGTGGAAACATTATTATGGACACAGAAGAAAAATTAAGAGTCTGGAAACAGTACATAGAACAACTGTTTAAAGATCAAAGAGACAATGTAGATAACGAATACATAAACAGGCTACAGGCCCAGATGAACTACCAATAGACATAATTAAACTCATCAAAGGCAACAACTTAATAAAGATCGTGGAACTATTTAACATCATTTACAAATCTGGTATCATACCTAATGAATGGCTAGTAACAACAATAATAGCCATACCCAAAAAGTCTAACTTCCTACGAATGCTGCGGTGTTATGTCTTTTCTAGCCTGTTATATGGAGTTGAGGCTTGGACACTAAAACAGTTGACCGTAAAAAACAGCGAAGCTTTCGAGATGTGGTGCTATAGGCGCATTCTCAGAATATCATGGATGGACCGCGTCACTAACACGCAAGTACTCCAAACTTTAGACAAAAGATGCGAAATTCTAAATGAGATAAAAACTAGAAAGATGGAATACTTGGGGCACATTGTGAGAGGTGAGAAGTACGAACTTTTAAGAAACATCATGCAGGGCAAAATTAAAGGCAAAAGAAGTGTGGGAAGAAGAAAAATATCGTGGCTTCGTAATCTACGTGAATGGTTCGGATGTAGTTCGATTGAACTCTTCAGGCGCGCTGCTAACAAAGTCGCAGTGGCCATGATGATTTCCAATCTCCGCTAGGAGTGGCACGAGAAGAAGAAGAAAAAGTCTAATGCGAGACAATGCTCGGAACATTGCACCATCAGTCTCATGTGTCATATATTAAAGGTCTTCTTAAAAATCGTTCATCGGAGAATATATAAAAAATTGGAAGTTGACATCGGACCCTCTCAATTTGGCTTTAGAGACGGACTAGGAACTAGAGAGGCACTGTTTGCTTTTAATGTTCTAACACAACGATGCTTAGACGTAAATCAGGACATATTTGTGTGTTTCCTAGACTATAACAAAGCATTTGATACAGTAAAACATAGGCCACTGATCCAAATACTGGAAAATAAAAATATTGATACAAGGGACATGCGAGTGATAAGGAATCTATACTACAAACAAGAAGCTACAGTACGAATTAACAGCTCGATATCAGATAGAATACAGATCAAAAGAGGTGTTCGGCAGGGTTGTGTGTTGTCTCCAACCTTGTTCAATGTCTACGCGGAAGAAGTTATTAAAAAAGCTCTTATGAACGAAAAAGCCGGAGTAAAGATCAACGGTCACCCCATTTGCAATATCCGATATGCTGATGATACCGCGCTCATAGCAGAAAATATTGACGACTTACAGAGATTACTAAACAAAGTGGTAGAAGCAAGTGAAGAATTTGGTCTGTCACTGAATACAAAGAAGACCAAATTCATGATAATTACAAAGAAACGTATCAATAATATCAACTTACATGTAGGACAGAATCTCATTGAACGAGTACAAAATACCTCGGAACAAATATTAACGAGTCAAACGAATACACCAGAGAAATAAGAATAAGAATAGAGAAAGCCCGCAGTGCCTTTAACAACATGAAACAAATGTTGTGTAGCCGAAACCTAAGCCTAAAGCTGAAAATACGAATGCTTAAATGTTATGTTTTCTCGGTCCTGTTATATGGGGTGGAGGCGTGGACACTAAATAAGCAATGTATGGGTAAGCTGGAGGCATTTGAGATGTGGGCGTACCGAAGAATGTTAAAAATCTCCTGGAAGGATAAGATAACTAACCAAGTTGTATTAGACAGGATGAACAAACAAAAGGAGGTCGTATTGAGTGTTAAAATGAGGAAACTACAATACCTGGGACATATTACACGTGGGAATAAATATCAACTGTTACAACTAATTATGCAAGGAAAGATTGAAGGTAGGCGCAGCATAGGTAGGAGAAGAATGTCATGGTTGAGAAACCTCAGGGAGTGGTTTGCTTGCACTTCTATACAATTGTTCCGAGCGGCAGCCTCCAGGGTCAAAATTGCCATGATGATAGCCAACCTTCGTAGCGGAGATGGCACGTGAAGAAGAAGAAGCAGAAGAATAGTCAGCTCCAGTCGCTCCATGTTGACTATGCTATAAACCTGACGAGCCGAATAGTATCCGGGTGCTTGAAACCTACTGCAGTTTATTACTTATACATGTTAAGCTTTGGAGATACGTGTCGATTGTTGGCGTTTAACCACCAAAAGAAGAGATGGACAAGCCGTTAATTATCCTACACTACCTGGAGGTCTCTAAACGAAGTTACGATGCTATTCGAACTTAAAAAACGATGGTACCATATACAAGATGACTGCGGGGTAGTGCAAAATCCCGAATATCTATTAATTTGCACGGAGTTAATCAAGGCATGAACTCACCTAGAGTTAATGGCAACTACTTAATGATAGGGCCATCGAAGTAAAGTAATTTAAAAGTGAAATTTGTTTACCAATTTAAACATAGCAATGTGTTCCTCTTTTTCAATTCTCCAGTAGAAAAAATCCCACCTATGGGTGATCCTGGTACTCGCACAAAATTTATATTGGACAATTCTGTTACGTAATTTCGAATTTCTTTTGATCTACATTGTACTGTTCAGCTATATTTTTTATGACTGAGATAGCTTCAGTTTTTTGGCCGGTCGCTAAAAGCCATCTCGGAGATTCCTGTATGTACCTGAAATGTAGATAAATATTTAGTACCATACCTTTATGACTTTTTGATATTTTATATGAAAATAATTTTCTCAGAATCAATACCTAAAAGTGATTCTTAAAATTTCTAGAGGTCTCATTAAAAAATATATAAATATATTACGAATTATTTAAGCATTTTGATTTTTTGCTAATATTATTATAAGTAATTTCAAAGAATACTTACCAATAATATAGAATAAATAGAGTACACAAAACCGAAAGAATAAAATGTAGGTATCTCCAATCTCTTACAAAATAAGCTACAATAGCCATTATGGTGTTTCCAAAACCAAATGGTATCTGGTATAGAATTGGTATTACAGATCTCCATCTATCTTCAACTGCTTCCATGCACATTACAAAAGACGTTACCATCGTGCCACCATTAGTTATTGCCACCAAACTTCGAAGAAAGATAAATAACCAGTAATATGGAGCAAAAGAAGTAGCGATTCCAAATAGTGCTTGAAAAGTTATACAGAACATTATTATCAATTTTCTTCCGTATCGGTCCGCCAGAATTCCAAATAAAATGTTTCCTAAAACAAAAATGTCTTAAATCGTAGCAAAGGTTGTCAAATCAAATTCTAGGAGAGACTTAACCCACCTTTCAACCAGATTAAACCACCATCCACCACAGATTAAAGCAAAAAAATATGATCATATACGATTTACTCAACCCAAAATAGATACCAACTGGTCTATATTTTATTTTACTTTAAATTATTTTAAATAAATAATTTTAACTTACCAATAAGAACACCCAGCATCAGTGTCGCTTGTGACAAATCTATCAAATGTCCTCTTCCGCAAACTAAGTCCCATTCTGATATAATTGTTGAATTGAACATTGAGTTATTGTAGCTGTACTCAAATTTGCAAGGAATCGTTTTATTACTCTCTAACTCGACCATTTTACAAGATCCGCTGTTGAGGCTTTCCTACAAAGAACTTTTTTGAATATTTTGTTATAATACACATATACGATAAAACAAAATAAAGAGAATTATAGTATAGATAACTATAGTATAGATCAACTCTAAATATAAGGTCCTTAAGCAAAGATGAAAAAGACTACGAACTCGAAGAAGACATCAAGGACTTAAAATGGAATATAATTGGTCTAGCAGAGGTAAACAGAAAAGGGGAAGAGTGCATCTATATTACAAAGGATGAGAAGAACAAAGCCTAGATGGCGTAGGATTTCTAATTTCCAAGAAATATGCACATAAAGTAGAGCAATTCGTAGGAATATCAGAAAGAATTGCAATGATTAGGTTAAATGTAAACGAGAACATCTCCCTGAAAATTATTAAAGTATAACCTCCAACCGCAGCCCATCCCGATGAAGAGACAGACGAATTTTATAAGAAAATTGCAGAAACTTGCACGAATTATCACAGTTACAGCACGTACGATGATAATAGTAGACTTAACGCTAAGATCGGACAACGACTTGAAAAAACCGAAAACTATATAGGACAATTCAGCTCTGGAGTTAGAAACGAGACAGGAGAAACCTTGGTTACCTTCCTGGCTATCCCCAGACGGAAAAACTCGGAACAAAATAGATTACATACTGTGTAACAAAATAGATATCATACAGGACGTAACAGTAATAAGTACGGCGTTACTAAGTAGCGATCACCGAATGGTTAGAGCCAAATTGGAGATAAAACATAATAAAAATAGAAATAAATTTAGAAAAATTTGGAACATAGACACAGATCAACTAAAATCTAATACAGAGCAATATAAAAGCAAATTAAAACCCGCAAAAGTATTAAATCTAGATAAACTTAGCTTAAATGAAATCAATGAAGTCATAACAAAAGAACTATTAAAAGCAAACTCAGAAGTGGCAACGGCTAACAGAAAACGAAAATCCAAAATAAGTGTAGAATCACAAAACATGCTGAAACAAAGAAAATATCTAAAACAAAACAAAAGAGACACTGCAGAATTTAAGGAACTTAATCGAGTAATAAGAAAACAGATAAAAGGGGACATTAAAAAACATCTAAAAGACCGTATAGAGAAAAACCGAAGTCTCAAATGTACCAAACCGAAACTAGGAAAGAAAAACATAATAACCAATAAAAATGAACAAGAACAACTAGAAAACAGTAAATCTGATATTGCAAACTCGATTGAAAAGTTCTACGCCGATCTGTGCCGTTCCAGAAACGTCCCCCTAACTCTTCAAAACAGAACTTGAAAAGGCAGATAACAAATATCAACTCAGAAGTGGTGCCCGAAATAATCCACGAAGAAATAGAAAGAACAGAAAAGAAATAAAAATGAATAAAGCTCCCGGAAGCGATGGAATCCTAGCAGAAATGCTGAAGGAAGGTGGAGAAGAAGCCATCAATATAGCGTCGAACTATTGGCTGACATCAGGAAAGATGTGTCCTGAAACAGAAGGTTCATTACTCGTCATTCAGGATCAGGTTATACCAACCAAAAATTACCTGAAATATATTGTCAAAGACCCTCAGATCCAAAACGACAAATGCCGATATGGATGTCAAGCCCAAGAAACGATCCAACATCTTACCGGAGGCTGCCAGGCATTTGCTGCAACTGAATATAAGGAACGGCATGACTCAGTAGGGAAGATCCTCCATTAAGAGATAGCTATTAAACTGGGACTTCTACAAACAAACCATCTCACATATTATCAATACGTTCCAGAGAGTATGCTTGAGAATGACAACTACAAGCTATACTGGGATCGTACTGTGCTCACAGACCAAACTGTAGCACATAATAGACCAGATCTCGTGCTAGTTAATAAACTAACAAGACAAACAACTCTAATCGATGTGGCGATACCTAACAACAATAATCTGCGTGTTAAGTACAACGGAAAGATCGCCAAGTACAGAGATCTGGAAATAAAAATAAGAAGACAATGGAGAATGGAAAGTACCCAGACGATACCTATTATTCTTTCTACCACTGGAGTCATTCCGAAGAACCTCCTAGAAAACATAAAAAAGCTGGGTCTAAATGAACATCTATATAAGATCATGCAGAAAGCTGTGCTACTTTCGACGTCCAGATGCGTGCGAAAATTTTTAGGAGATACACCGACGTACCAAGTCACCTTGTACTCGATAACATGGAAAGAGTCCCACCAGAGCTCAATCCTTTTAATACCGTAGGTATCTGAGATGAGTGAATTTCCCCTTAGAGGGAGTGTGAGCCGTATGTCTAAATCTGATAATAATAATAATAAGGTAGATTTGGCAAAAAAATCAAAGGGTATAAAAAAATTATAATTCTTAGAAATATTTAAAGCTTTAGATGCATAGAAAAATATACATTGTATTCTAGTTGCTTCCATATTTCTATAGCGCATCGAAAAAAGTGACAGTATAAATGTTTAAGAAATTCGAGTAGCCGCTGTCCAGTGACTTATTGCAATATTGGTTGGTTCACCGATACAAATTTATTGACGTTAGTAATCAATCATAAAATAACAATGTGTTATTGGTATATAGTCAAAGATCAGAGAAATTTGATTTTGGAAAAAACAAACAACACGTTATTTTCTTTGTTTTTTAAATGGTTAAAAGTGAAATTGTCCAAAAAATATTTCTTCTGCAGACGAATCTCATCATCATCACTATCCAACAGAATAATAATAAATTGTCCACTGTTTTAAGTTATTTGTCCTTCTTCTTTGTCCGTCTTCTGAATTGATTTTGTATATTAACTACCTGGTTTACTGCTTTTTTCCAGTGGGGACTTGCGGTTTTTGATATTTTAAGTCGAATTAAATCAATCACTTTTGCGTCAAATTTTGGAAAAACATTTTTCCTCATACTGTGGTTGCCTCAACAGTATGGCCACCAAGCCACCATGTTCCGTTGCAATCATATCCAGTATATGTTTGACATATGTAAACATTTGATAATAAGACTGTTCAATGAAAGTGTATTGCTAATGATAATATACGTTGCGAAATCCTGGATAAACAAATATTAAACAAAATAGAAGTTCCCCAAAGATCATTGGAGAGGAAAAAACTTATGAGTTAATCTGAGAGAGAGAATTAGAAATGAACAACTCAGGGAGAGAACAAAAGTAACTGATGTAATAGAAAGAATCACAAAGCGAAAATGGGACTGGGCAGGACACATTAAAAAAAGAAGAAAGACGACAGAGAAAAACCATAAAATAGAGACCTTGGGATCAAAAAAAATCAAAAAGGAAAAGAGACTCCTAACGAGATGACATAGAGTATCTACCCCTAAGATAACAGGCAAAACGTAGCTGAGAACAGCAAACAGAAAACATAAATGGAAACAGTTAAAGAAACGCCAATATTTGCAAAAAAACTAAAGGAGCCTATAATTACCAAATTTAAAATCTGTACATAGGTGATGTTTGTTAATATTTCTTACCTTACCTGGGTAAAATGTAGTTGTTGCGAAATATTCAGCCATTTTTCTTGTAATAAGTTTCTGTGTGTGGGAGGTGGGGTGCACCAGAACTGCGTAGGTGGTGCCAAAAAAACAATGCTTAAAGTAAACCAGGCAATTGGAAATTTTAACAGTGACATAAGGATTGAGATTTTTAATTGCCATGGTTGAAACTTCATTATTATAGCTTCTAATATTTCATCATTCTGCTTTTTGTGAATGTGCAGGGCTTTATCATTTCTTTCTGTAAATATAATGATATAACACGATAATTCTTTTTAATTCTAAAAACAATAAAATTAATCACCAACATATCATTATTTAGAACAGATTAAATGTTGCCCAAAATCGGTCTTGGTCTTGTTCTTACATTTTCACAAGACCAAGACCAAGTTTAAGCAAGAACAAGACTAAGCTTGTGAGACTCTTACGTCTTGCGCTTAGGACCGAGTGTCGTTTTATGGGATATAGTAGTTCGGGTATATGCTTGGAGACTCTATGAGACGCAAAAAAATAGGTAACAAAAATTTGGAAAATTGGACTTTGCGCATTATGAACAATACCATTAAAATAGCGAATCAAAATATCCATTAAAAGAACACTTCACACATTTGACACACATATGATATAGTATGTTAGAAATACTGAAAAGGGTTTAAAGCAAAAATTAGAATAGTTATGGCAATCATAAAAGAATTAAAACTTAATATGACAAAAAAAAGTATCTAAAACGTTTCTTTAAAAATGGGGTTACTACTTTAAATGATATTAAGATGATAATGAATGGTAAAAAGTAGTATTTTTAAGTCGCTAGTGCTATAGAATCGGTACTACAAAGTAATGGAGAGTAGATGGAGATGCATTTAGTAGAGCTAGAATCAGACTTCTTCTTCTTCTTAAGGTGCCGTGCATTTCTGCATAGGCGTCCACCGTACATCGTCTTGTCAGGTGAGATGTTAAATATTCTGGATTAAATAATTCTGTTTTTAGCAGCATTGCGAAGCATTTCATAGCTGTGGATTCCTGTCCATTGTCGAATATTGCGCAGCCATGACATTTTTTTACGTCCGAGACCTGTCCTACCCTCTATCTTCCCTTCGAGTATCAGTTGCTGAAAAGTGTATCGTTCTCCTCGTATAATGTGCCCCAAGTATGCAGTCTTCTTACTTTTTACATAATTAAAAAGTTCCCTATCCTGTAAGCCCGCTCTTCTGAGTACTTCCTCATTTCTGACCCTGTCCGTCCATGATATTCTGAGCATTCGATGCAGGGACCACATTTGAAACACTTTAATTTTGTTAATGGAACTGGCCTTTAACGTCCATGCTTCCATTCCGTACAGGAGAACAGGCCACACGTAACACTTAAGCATCTTGTATCGGAGGTTGAAGTCCAATTTGCGATCAGTCAGAAACTTACGAAGCCTCAAAAAAGCATTTCTGGCTTGTTCAACTCTGCTCTTTATTTCATTCTCGATGTCCCAACCATCATTCAGCAAACATCCCAAGTATTTGAATTGCCTGACTTGCTCGATTTCTTCTCCAGAGACATATATCTTTGCGTTGGGGTAATCATTTCTACTTATAATCATTGATTTTGTCTTCTTGATATTTATTTTCAAACCCCGAGCTTCACTTGCAAGAGTTAGATCATTTAAAAGGCATTGAAGATCTTCGATGTTATCTGCCACTATGGCTGTATCATCGGCATACATGATGTTATTAATAAATGTGCCGTTAACTTTAATACCCTTATTAGAGTCTTCCACTGCTTCTGCGAAGGCTTTTTCTACGTATAAATTGAACAGCATTGGGGACAGTATACAACCTTGCCTTACTCCTTTTTTAATGGAGAAATCTTCTGTTTCGTTGGAATTTTGAAGACGTACTGTTGCTGTCTGATTCCAATACAGATTGGCGATGATTCTTATATCCTTTGCATCCAATCCCAACTCTTGTAGGTATTTTATCATCAATTCAGGTTTTACATTATCGAATGCTTTCTCGTAATCGATGAAACAGATAAAAACATTCTTTCTTTGATCTAAACAATTCTGTATCAATATTTGCATACTAAAGATCGCTTCTCTCGTGCCAAGTCCATTTTTGAAACCAAACTGACTCCATCCACTGACCTCTTCACATTTCTTAAACAATCTAGTGTGAAGTATTCTCAGGAAAAGTTTTAAAAAGTGACTCATTAGTCTTATTAGTCGGTGGTCCTTGCAGAAGTTCGCACGTGGTGTTTTTGGTAGGGCGATAAATGTAGATCGAAGCCAATCTTTTGGAATCTGGCCCGTATCGTAGATGTCGTTAAAGAGCTTGACAATAATGTCTAGGTTTTCTTCATTAAGTAACTTGATTGTTTCTGCGTACATATCATCTGGTCCTGGGGTTTTGTTACTTTTTAATAGTTTGATAGCGTGTACAATTTCAGCTTTCAAAATACTTGGGCCATACAAATGGTCTCCCAGTTGTGGTGGTTTTTGTGTTCTGTCATCTTTGAACAAATTGGCTGTGTACATTTTCCAAGTATTAAGTATATCGCTAGGGTCCGTTATTAATTCATTTTGGTCATTTTGTATACCAGTTTTTTCTTGAAGACACCAGCAATTTCCTTAATTTTCTTGTGAAGATTAAAGCTGTCGCCGAGTTTATATAGGCTTTCAGTCTCGGCGCAAAGTGTAGTCATCCAGATCTCCTTCGCCGCTATAATTTCTTTACGAATTTGACTGTGTATATTTCGGTACCCTACTTCGTCCTTCGGTACTAGAATCAGACTAATGAAAGCAAATGGTGTATTAAGTGACAACTTCTTCATATCTATAAGCAATGCTCCTAGTTCATTGGAGTCGATACCTGTATGTATGCCTGAAGTGTACAAAGTAACCTAAAATTAAACGTGTAACGTCTATACCACTTGTTTTCTCTTATTTAAAGAGTGGAACATTGATACATAATTATTGTCAAACTCTTTTCGAGTATAGAAAACAAGGGACGTGGTAGATACAAATATAAAATATACTTGTGCGGCATTAGTTAGGGATATTGCCAATATAATGGTAATGGTACTTCATTCTGCATAAATTATTTGTATGTAAACAATTAAAAATTATCAGTTTAGTATTAGTTTTTAAGAAATATGAAAATTTGAGACCTTATAAAGAGAATCAGACCAAAAACATTTTAAGTTTTGACAAAGCCCCTGTACAGCCATTTGAAAATTACTTTTGTTCTCTCAAATGTCATAAATAAATATAATTGTTAAAAATACTTGACTGATTGTGACTATCTTTCGCAAATGTAGTAACTACATAAAAACTCACATTATGAAATATGCTTTAAATGTTGTTATTGTTTATTTTAATAATTATAACCATTTAAAAAACATGTTTACTTTCGGGTTTAATTTGCAATAACTTTTTTATTTATAAATATTTTTAATTTAGAAAATCTCATTTTAAAGAGAAAGTATTTTCAAAAAAGTCGTCTGTTGAACATTTTTATCTAGAATGCGTAATTTTTTCACAATATTGAAATGAATGAAAAAGTCTCTTTTTTAGCTAATATGTCATTTGTCTTATTGCTCGATGGTCATGAAGCAGTAAAAGTTTCGATTAGCACGAGATAATACGGCGATCATTTTTCGATTTTTTAAGTGATTGTCGCATGGACGTATAAACACAGATGGACTCAGTTATTTACATATAATTGTAAAGTCAAAATTATTTGAATAGGTCACATTCTCAGCACCTTCAACTGTTGTCACGTTTTGTTTTAAAATTTCTTATTCGCGAGTCGCTGAAAATATTACTCCGTATTTTATCCTCTACAGGTGCTATCAAACCACAATAATAATTTATTGGTTAGATTAATATATTTAATTGTAATCAAAATATAAAGTGTACACATAGTGTGCATTATCATTTAATAATAACGTATAATTTGGATATCAATCAATTATTTTATATGTAGAAGCACTGAAAACTATTTATAAATGGCAACGGTTGTTTACATTTCTCTGTCTTATGAAAATAAACGAAATATTTACATCCCGATCTCTCATTTCAATTGTAAGTACATAAAATTTACATTATTTAAGATGAGGAAATGAGGAAGCGTGTTTGTTTACATTTTAATAGGCGTACCATTGGGTTTATTCATGTTCATTAATGTATTAAATAAGATATAATTTCATGAAATTAGTAGACATTTTTAAATTGTAAGTAGACATCATCTGATTAAAAAAGATCTATTTAGTACCTTTTTAATTTATTATTTCTCATGGATGCAAATAAATTAGTGAAATGAATAAAACTTATTTATTTTTCTATGTAGGTTTCCAAATAATATTGACGATCGAACTATTTTGGTAGCAAATTTAGGAGAAAACATAAAGATTTTTTATTGTAGCATTCTTTTGATACCTATTAAAAATTAACTTGAATTCAACTATATTTTATTGTATTAATTTTACAGCAAATAAAATTGTATTTTAATTTTTCTATAAAGACGTGATTTGTTAATAGTTAAACTCTCGTTTTTTTTTAATTCTTTGAACGTGTTTTTATACATTATTACTACTTCCAATTTTTAAAATCTGAATAATTACGCGCGAGTAAAAATTCAAGCACGCTTATGCTCATTGCGGAAGCATCACATTCTATCGAAGCTTCAAAACATTGTGTGTTAAAGGTATCTTATTGCTGTGTCCATCTATGTTTATACGTCCATGGATTTTCGGCTTTGTTTTATGTGGTAATAAACTATAAACAACTTATAAATTTAATTTAATTTACTTATTTATTTCTCTGAATGAAAAAATCAAGAAAATAGTGTTAATTGTTGTAGATAAGAGACTTAATTGATTTGTACAGTTGTATAATTGTTGTATTATTGTTTATTTAATATTTAGCAATGATTTAGCTATATCCCTAATTTATGCCTCACAGTTTTAATCAGCATTTCAATAGACCAGTGTCGAAGCCTTTAAAAAAGGTAAAAAGTCAAAAAAAAATCATAGTAGAATAAATCCTATTCGAAAAGGAAGAGAATATGCTAGAAATGGAAGAAAAAATAAATTCCATTCCATCCGAGGTCGGGAAGTGGGAGGGGGTGGGTTTTTAAGGGTAAAAATCGGTTCATCGCGATTTCCGGCGAAACTACAACTGCTATGAAAAAAAGTTAAATAGAAAAGTTGTAGGTAACAAAAAGACCTACAACTTTTGTATTTACACTTTTTTCAAATACCCTCAAAATTTTTGTGGAAAATTAAAAAAAAACTAAATTTTTGATTTTTATTTTTATCTTTCACAAAAAAAAATTCTTTACGAAATTTGGTGAATTTGGTGGCCTTAGTATGTACCGAATACACTGTAATTTTTGGAATTGAGAAATTTATTTTTTTACCTGATATTGATTTAATATCGAAAAAGCACCCTAATTTTCAATCGAAAATACATTAAAAAAGTATACATTACTATGAAAAATGTTCTCAAAAAACGCAAAAAACGAAGAAAACTCGAATCTAAATAATTGTTTTTCATCATTATGTACAATTTTGAGATATTTATTAAAATTAACACTGTAATTACTCATGTTGCGTAAGATTTCATGGTACATTGACAAATAAAAAATTATAAATTGAAATATTCTATATAATTACCAAACAATTAAGTTAATAATGTTTATATTTGATAAGACATCTACAATATAAGAAAGTTGTAGAATTTTCTTTTAATTAAATGAGTACATACTCTTATTTATTGCTATTTAAAGATAATTTATATACCTGAGTGACCTTCGGAAAATTTTAGTCCATCAAAAGGTATTTGGTAAATAAGTGGGGAAGGCACTACGAGGGTCGGACTTACTACTATACCTATATCAAGATATTGATCTTTTGGTCCTTTTAATTCAATTAAATAAAAATAGTAATGACATTGATTTTCTTAAACCAGGTTGTGGAACTTAAAAGATTAATTTTTCACGTCGAATAGTTTCAAATATTAATCTTGCAAAAATATCATTGCATTTCTGCATTGTTTTTCAGGTTGTGATACAACATCTGGATTTGCCGGGAAAGGAAAGAAAAGTATCGTAAATTCATTATTAAACGCTACAAATTTGTCAAGCTTAGCTAACATTTTTTATAAAAAATATGCAAATAAACAAGATATCGCAAAAAATGGATTATAATTAATCAAATCTATTTATAAGTGCAAAAATTCAGCTAACGCTGAATCAATTACGATTTCAAAAATATCAGTTGGCAAAAATCAAATCATCTTTCGTATTGGCAAATCTCTCACCCACAGAAGGTGAAGCAGAACAACATTGTTACAGGGCATATTATCAGCTTTAAACATGGCTGGGCAACAAACTGAAAGCAACAGATTGGGGCTGGAAACAACATCAACGAGGCATTATGCCCAAAACAGAAAAGGAATTGATCCCGGAAATACTACTCAAAACTATTTGCTGTAGCTGTGAAACTGGATGTAACAATTTAAAATGTGGTTGCCGAAAACATGGTTTGAAATGCACAAAATGTTTCCAGACAGCCATCTGGACGAAGAAATGCCATCAAAGAGGCAAGAATTAATGCCCTAAAAAATATTTATATATATATATATATATATATATATATATATATATATATATATATATATATATATATATATATAAATATATATATATATATATATATATATTTATATATATATATATATATATATATATAAATATATATATATATATATATATATAAATATATATATATATATATAAATATATATATATATATATAAATATATATATATATATATATATATATATATATATATATATATATATATATTGTAAGATTACCCATGACAAAAATGTAATTAAACATTAATAAACCAGCTTTTTAGTTGTAAAAAAAATCGTATGGCAGTCACATTTTTTGATTAAATTCCCTTTAAATCCTATCTTGAATATTTTTAACAGCTATTTTCACGTCTTTTTGCAATCTTATTGTTTTGTGGATTTATTATTTTTTTGTTTATCAATGTATCATAAAATCTTAAGCTACATGACTAATTATAAGAAATATCTCAAAATTGTACAGAATGATGGAAAAAAAAAACATTTTTTCGATTTGAGTTTTTTTTTGTTTTTTGCGTTTTTTGAAAATATTTGCCATGGTAATGTATACTTTTTTACACTATCAGAAAGTAGAGATTTCAACAAACAAAAAGCCCACAGAGTTTTTTAAAAAAGCTGATATTTTGACGCCTGAATTTTCGATTGAAAATTAGGGTGCTTTTTCGATATTAAATCAATATCAGGTAAAAACTTAAATTTTTTAATTCTAAAAATTACAGTGTGTTTGGTACATACTAAGGCAAGTTTTCACCAAATTTTGTAAAAAAAAATTTTTTTTGTAAAAGATAAAAATAAAAAACCAAAAACTTTGTTTTTCGAATTTTCCACAAAAATTTTGAGGTTATGTGAAAAAAGTGTAAAATACAAAGTTGTAGATCTTTTTATTACCTACAACTTTGCCATTTAACTTTTTTCCATAGCACTTGTAGTTTCGCCAAAAATCGCCGATTTTAAACTATAAACCGATTTTTACCCTTAAAACTCCTCTCCCACTTCGCGACCTCGTATGGAGTGGAATTTATTTTTTCTTCCATTTTTAGCATATTCTCTTCCTTTTCCAATAGGTTTCATTCTACTATAAATTTTTTTGGTTTCAAAAATTATCGGCGCTGGTCTATAAATCATTAGTTGATTAAAAAAATATTATCATATATTGCATGTCATATATTGTCAATGAACAAATATTTTTGACAGATATTAACAAAAAACAAATTAATTCTATTAGAACATGGAAAATTAAAAAAGTCAATTGCCGGGTTCTTGATTCTTAAATTTAGACTACAAGGGACTTTAATTTTCATATTTGTAGATAGAAACTACTATACTTTAGTAATTTAATATAAATACTTACCCATGTTGACGGAAATTTAATCACAACTAGTTCAATAAACAACAATGACCATAATCTCCAAATGCACTTTCTTTAGCTATGAACTACGAAAAATGTGCAAGACGTTGCATAGAAAAAGAGAAAGTGATATTCACTTAAACAGTCGTTAACACCTTTTACAATGTATTTCAGACCATAAAAAATATCTCAATTATTACATGTAATAGATTTGCATTATTATGGTATGGAAATTAAATTTATAAAAATAATTTTGCATTTGAATCAATCGATAATACATATATTATTAAATATGGTAACGTATTCTATCAGAATAAAAAGAAGCGACGACACAGCTTCTATCAAAAAAAACATACCTAACATACAAGAGACAAATAAAGTGAATAAATAATCGAAAATTTTTGTGAAATAATTTATACGATCACAGATAAATATCTATAATCCATTCACAAATTGTTGAGAACACGAAATGTGCCTCAAAGTCATAAAACGGTCGTAAAATTTGTATCATCATAGGCGTTCCTAAAGTGATTATCATTAAAATTAATGCGTTTTACATTTATTTTCCTTTCCAAAATGTTTATCAATATTAATGTTTTAATACTAATATATTTAGCAAAAAACAATTAAAACTTTCATGGCTAATGTTGTTTATTATATTATATTAATAAAAATAAGAATTTAACCATTAACAATTTTGTAAATAAGAATACCTTATCTCTTTGGATATTTCAATACTAATCTTCGCGTTTAATCACTACTAGAAAACCTGAAATTCATATCCGAAGGTACTATTCGTTGCAAGATAATTAGGATGGAATTCCCCAGATTTTTAATAATATAATGGGTATAAAGATGCCGGCTTTGGCCACGTGCCTTGTCTGTTCAGTTTATATTCGAAATTTTACTTGAAAGGGTGAAGTTATTACGAACGAAAACACTTTTTTGTTTAGTACGTTTTTGATCGCATGTAGTTTACGGCTCGGCGGTGTTTCCGCATCTACGGCAGTAATTAGCTTTTGCGAATTATATGCAGTGCGTGAGCGATTTTTTATTCCATATACCTACGAACATATACGTACCTTTCGCTCGTGCTCGTTTTGTTGGATTGTTTGTGATGGCTTCATTATCAACATCATCAAGATTTACACCGGTACTGTTGCGTACAGTCAGTAAGTCTGTCTATTCACCAAGAGAGAAAACTATAGTCCTGAATGTTCACGATGCTCTGGTTTCTCAGAATCCCACAAACACTGTTCGCAATATAGTCGAAATTTGTGCCAACATGACTGGCGTATTGGATTCAACTATATATAGGTTCCTATCAGAAAGAAAAAAACACGGTATAGCTAATCCAAACACAAACAAACACTTAAAGAGAGGGAAAAAGCCTATTGAAATTGATGAATTTACCAAAAATGGTATTCGAAGAAAAATTCATTTGCCTCATATAGGATGAACTAAATTGTGGCAAGTTTTAAAAGAATTAAATTTCCGGTGGGAGAAATCAGACCGAAAATCACTTTTGATTGACCGGAAGGAGATAATATGTTGGAGAAGAAATTATCTAAGATCCATACGAAAATTCCGGGCTGAAGGAAGGCCAATCTTCCACCAGGATGAAACGTGGGTAAACTCAGGTCATACTCTAAAAAAATTTGGTCAGATAAAAATATATTAAGCTTCAGGCAAGCTTTTATGGAAGGTTGGTCTACTGGTATCTCCCCACCTTCTGGTAGAGGCAGTAGATTAATAATTTCTCACATTGGCAGTGAAAAAGGATTTGTTAAGCATGGTTTGTTGTAATTTCAGTCCAAAAGCACAAAAGACTATCACGAGGAGATGACAGCTGATATTTTCGAAGAGTATTTTGAGCAGATGATTGAACACATAACACCAAATTCAATTATTGTATTAGATAATGCACCTTATCGTTCACGACTAGCAGAAAGACTTCCAATGACTGCGTGGAAGAAACAGGATATTCTTGACTGGCTGCGGAATAAGTATCTGCCTTACAAAGATGGAATGGTAAAAACAGAACTTTTAAAAATTGCCCGGCAACACAAATCTAAGTTCAAGAAATACGTAGTTGACAAAATGGCGGAAAGGCGAAACATCACAGTCCTTAGACTTCCACCCTACCACTGCGAAATAAATCCAATTGAACTCATTTGGGCACAAATGAAAAGTTATGTGGCTAGAAAAAATACGTCATATAAAATACAAGCTGTACGTGAATTGTTATACGAGTCTTTACAACATATTACAGTACAAAACTGAAAAGATGAAGTAAGACATGTAATAGAAGAAGAACAAAAAATGTGGGATCTTGGTTGATGCGCCGTAGAGACACAACCGCTAATTATTAACCCTCAAGACGACTCGGATTCCGAAGTTGATCCTATTTATTTTGAACTTGAATAGTTTTCTAATCGTAATTATATAAGGTAATTAATAGTAGTTGTAATCGTAAGGGAAAAGTCGCAAAATGTCGCCTGTCAAAATGTTCAATGTGTTCTAAATGTATCTATTTTTTCAAATCCTGAGAAAACTAAAAAGCATTTTTGAAAAATTTAAAGGCAGAATGAAATATTTATTAGAATAAATAAAAAGTTTCTTTTGCATGCAATATTTTCAATTAAAAATTGTACTATATTTTCTCGTTTATTTTCACCCCTATTACATAACATATTAAAATAAACATTGTAGAAGTTTTCAGGGACTTTCTGCCCTCAGTAATAATGTAATCTTTCATTCTGCGTTTAAATTTTTCAAATATATTTTTATTAGTTTTCTCCGGATTCGAAAATAATGGATACATTTAAAACACATTGAAAATTTTGCCAGGCGACATTTGGAGCCTTTCCCCTTAATTAAATAAATGTATCTTTTACAAATGGCAAGAAACTTTTTATTTTTAAATCAAATAAAGAAGTTTAAATAAAACAAAAATACAATTTACATAAGTACAATTTAAAAAATATATTTATTTAGTTCAATCATATACTCTACGACACTGGTCGATCATCTGTAACCAAAATACCTTCGTATTCAGATTATAAGATTGACTGCTGTATTGTATTCCTTCAGATACAAGGTGGGTTAGTCAAAAACATCTTAAACCGTCAGTTTAAGGTTGGTTTTTACTATTATATCGTATTACCTATCCTCTCTGTATCCAGTTTTCTAATTAGAGTTAAACTTGTAGTGAGCTATCGACAAATTGTGAACCGATTATAGTAGAGGAAGAAGAAATGGAAAAATATTGAATGATAGATATCCCCGAAGAGGGAAAAGCTGTGGAAGAAGATGAATAAGATGCAGACTTCAATCCGAAGGTAGGTGTAAAGTTGGAAGAATCGGAAACTTCAATCGGTGAATTCGGACTTAGAATAAGAAACAAACGAGGAAAAGGCCTGATAAACTTCCCTTTCCGAGAACGATTTGTACCTAATAAACAGCTCCTTCCACAAAAACCAAATAGAAGGACTTGGATAAGCCCGAACTACAACTCAAAAAATGAAATAGACTGTATCGCGAATGATAAGATAGATCGCGATTGATAAAAAAACAAAACAAAGGTGGTATAGTAGGCGGCACGGTAGACTAGCGCGAAGCTTCATACTATGTTTTCTATATTTTTAAAATCTAAATATTTTTAAACTTGAATAAGGTAATAACCATGCGGTACACCGTGATATACATAATATACATTCCTATACACTAATTATTATAATTTTATTTAATATATTATTACTATTTTCTTTTTATTATTGGCTGTAACAGTACCTACAGTACAGTAACATAAATGAAGCATTAAATAACGCTAAAAGTCATTTCAAGTATTTAATTTTTTACTTTAATGCCAAAGTGGGACATGGTTCTTTGCCGACAAAGAACAAGTCGTGGGAAAGTAAGGAGTCGGTGATAGAAATAAGAGGGGAGAAAACTTCATTCTAACCAACAAGATTGCTACAATAAAAGATGTCGGTGTAATAACTAAATTTCAAACAGGCAGCGACCATACACTAATCAGAGCAAAAATTGTTCTGGATCTGAAACTAGAAATAATAACATTAATCACAAAACCAAGAGTAACCGGTATAAATATTAAGAATCTAAGGGAAAACTCGGATTACTACCAAAGGAAAATTGATGAAAGAATACATGACCAAATCGACAGCTTTCAATTAATGGAAATCAACATAGTAAACTGTCTGAAAAACTAAAATAACGCTAAAACAAAGAAAGGAAATGAAATTAAGCAGCAACATACAGAGAATAAAATACACAGAACTTTGTTAGACAATAAGGAAAAGTATTAAGGAACACAGAAGAAAATACAATGAAAGACTGGTAAAAAATGTAATCGAAAACAGGAAAAACTAGAAGAAAACAAGAAAAGCATTAATCATTGGGAAAAACAAATCGTTGCTCTAACAAAGGAAAACACCAGAATTACAGACAGAAATGAAATAATACAATTCGAAACTAAATTCTACAGCGAACTATACAAAGCCCCTGACACACTTGAAGGTTACAAGATGGAGCTCCAGTTCATTTTGGGGTAAATGCTCGGGGTTATTTAGAAGACATATTTCCAGGACGATGGATCGGTAGACCAGGTACAATTGAATGGTCTCCACGTTCACCTGATTTCAATCCTAAAGATTATTTTTATTTTATGGGCAATTGATTGTATATTCTTGGAGCAAAATATTTAATTGACCGTTGCGTGATTGTTTTTGAAGTGTGAAGACATTCAACATTCAATTTTCTTCTTGTTTCATAATTTGACACTTTTACTTTAAGAGGTATTTTATCTTTATGAATATTTTTAAGTAGCTCTAAGCAGTACAATTGCCGAACATCAAGAACCTGAGTTTCATGTAAAAGTTGGTTTGAGGGATATGTTTTTCGTTTTCCATATATTAGTTTAAGAAACCATTTCTAAGTATTTTAAAGGGTTACCAGATGGCAATCAGTTACGCCACCCCATCCTAA